AACCAGGATGGAGGATGGAGAAGACACCTCCAGCTCCAGAGCTGCTGGCTGAGCCCCCACGCAAACCACAAGACACCGAGATCCAGCCAGGAGACTTGAGGCTGAACAGAGCTGGGAGCTGCATCCTTCTCCATCTCCCCCGTAAGCAGAGGGGCCCAGAGCATCCCTTGCACCGTGGGGACCGCGCGGTGGCCGCAGCCAGCCTGGCCCCGCAGAAATGAGGCCAGTCCCGAGCGCTGGAAAGGCTGGTTAGGTAACTGGGCAGGGGGAACGCGGGGCCACGGGGGCCGTGACACCTCCCCTGGGCGGGCACATCGCATCCCGTGGGATGTCTGTCTGTCGCCGACCCCCCCTGCTCCCAGCGAACCCTGGCTGAGATGCGGCTTTCCATCCCCCCACTGGCCGGGAGGGACCAATCCAGGCAGGCTGCGTGGAAATAAACCCTTTCCTACCGAGCATAGCTGCGTTGTGGCTCTGCTTTCCTGCTGTGCCCAGTGTCCCTGCCCTGTGATCAGCTTGGCAGGAGGGATGAGTCGGGGATGAATCGGGGACGCCCACTCCGCAGGAATTCGGAGCAGTGGGTGGTGGCATTGTCACACAATGTCCCCTAAGGGTCACCAGCAGCATCAGGATGGCAGACACGAGGCTGGTCACGCAGCCCTCCAGGAACTGGGAATCACTTGCAGGTGTTTTTGGGGACAGGAGCCTGAAGTGTCTCTGCCAAGAGAGACTCTCTTCTCAAGGGCCAAACCAGCTGCTCACTGCAAACCGAAGTGCTTGATGAAGATGCCACTCAAGCACATATTGTCCCCAAAAAGCTGCCTGGGAACTCCCTGCTAGGAGGGCAGAGGGAGTTTTACCACCCTGCCCAGGCAAGAGCACTGGGATGAGGCTGTTCCTCCAGGCTGGCACAGACACCTTCGAGGGATGGGGAAGAGCACAACACTCAGGTGTCCTCCCACCCCTCGTGGAGTCTCATATTCAGAGAGCTCTTGATGCTGCCAAGCTGTTAGTTGACATATTTTAATGGATGAATTGCTGGAATAACCTCTGACCCAAGGACAAAGGCTTAAAACTGCTCCAAAAGCAAAGAGACAAGTGTACAGTCACACCAGCACTGAGGGAACAAGCAGCTTGTCCCTTCCTGGAGAAGAAGGACACACAGTGAGGGCATCCAGGGTCTCGCTGGCTCCTTCTCCTCGTTCGTGCCCTGGCCAGGAGGGCTGAGGGAGGAGCAGGGTGGTGTTTGCTGCCAGGCTGTGCTGGGATGTTTTTGTCACAAAGCTGAGGAGGACAAAGATGCCCTTATGGAGCTGCATGGCCCCTCAGTCCCCTGTCCCCTCGGTCCCTGTGGTCAGCTGGTTGTCTCCATCTCGGTGACCTCCTCCAAGGGCTGTGTCTGCACCTCCACCTGCTTTGGGGGGATGTAGGATCCCATTCCAGCAGCACGTTCAGCCTCCTCCTGTGTGTACGGTGCCTCCCGCAGCTGCTTCAGCCTGAGGGAGGCAGAGAGGGGGATGAAGGCTTCTACCCTGACTTCTTGGAGCAGGACCAGCTCAGAACTGACCCCAGAACTGACACTGCCACCCCCTCACCCCAATGAAGTGAGGGGCAGGTGGTTGTAACTCTGGGGCAGGACACGGGGTGCCTCAGGACCCCCCTTACCTCTTCTTGTGCACCTTGGATCTGAAGTGTTCCTTCATGCTGTTCAGGTCTACAAAGTAGCGCCTGGGGGTGTAAGAGGATGGAGGTCAGGGGGACCCAAAGATGGGAGTGGGACTGGGGAGAGTCCTACCAAGGGGCCATGGTCCCACCATACCCCTGGGGACAGTCCCCAGGGTCCCCCCTGAAACCAGGACAAGATATCTCCCAGACATCAGACCACATCGCCAGGACCAGGCTCCCCAGGAGCCAAGGATCACCCCTACAACCAATGCAACCCCTTCCCAGGAGCTGGGAACAACCCGGGACCAAAACAAATTCCTCTGAGGAGCCAGAGACTCCCCCGGGAACAAGGCAAACCTCTCCCATGGAGCTAGGACACCCCAGGGCCAAGGCAAACCCCTCCCATGGAGCTGGGACCCCCCAGGACCAAGGCAAACCCCTCCCGTGGAGCTGGGACCCCCCAAGACCTGAGCATCCCCTCCTAGAGGCCACTGACCCCCAGGACAAGGCCAACCCCATCCCAGCAACCAGAAGCCTCCCTGTACCAGTCCAACTCTTCACCTCCCCCACGAACCAGAGACCCCCCAAACCCAGGACAACCCCATTCC